CTCTCTCTCTCTCTCTCTCTCTCTCTCTCTCTCTCTCTCTCTCTCTCTCTCTCTCTCTCTCTCTCTCTCTTTCTCTCTCTCTCAACACGTGTATGTCGCATGGTCGTAACGCCAATTAGAGACGGCCGTCTGTCGCGTATATTGCTTGCTCGGCTCGACGAAACTCCACGTCGCACGAAGGGAGGGTAGACATCTCCAAGCATTGCCGTGAATGTATCGTGACGAAGGAAAAAAAAAGAGAGAAAACCGTAATAAAAAGGCATGTATGTCGACTCCCGTTCGTTTCAGCAGCGATCGGGCCGCGCGTGACGGGCACGCGTTGGAAGCCTACGGTGAGCTGATAAGCGATAACTCGTAAATGGGGAGGGTGTCGGAGAAGAGTCCTCCCCCTTCGCTTCTACCCTCGCCGTCGTACGCGGAGTCTCCGTCCACGTGGTGCACGTGTCGTGTCGTGTCGTGTCGCGTAGCCGTTACGAACGCGCGCAGTCGACGCAATTAGTCGGATTACTTGTGCATTGCTCGGTACCAACGGCATACGATCGCTTCGCCAACCTTCGGGATACGCCGCCGTTAAACCACCCTGTCCGTTCGCCCGCCCGTCCGTCATTCGTCCGCGAAGTAGCGTCCTCAGCCACCGCCGCCGTCGTCGGTGCGCCCTTTTTCCACGAGCTCGATCTCGGGCTGCGTCTCTCGGAGAAGAGAGGAAAAAACGAGGGACTCGAACTTGAAAGTTCGTCGCGATGACGGGACACGAGAGTATTCAATTAGTCATTCCACAATGCTCGCTCGCTCGCTACCGTGAGAGAAAATGTAGAGTTCCGTTACGTAGAATATGATTAACATTTAATGTCGTGTAACGTAATGAAATATTAATACATAATTAAACTTTTAAATTAGCTACATACAATAAATCCAATGATTTATTAAATTTATTGTATTACATTAGCTTCTGTTGCTAGGTCAATAATTTATTAAGTTTAATTATATTTGGTGATTTAATAATTAATTATAATTAATAATAATATATTAACATAAAATCATACGCGCGATTTCTCGTAACTCCTCTGTATTCGCAATTTGTCCGGCCGGGAGGCGTTTCGCAGATGGCGCATCCCGAAATCGAGCTCCCTCGCGAAAAATGGCGTCGTGAACCGAAAAGGCGGTCGAAGGAACTCATCCATCTATCATATAGGACAACCATCGGGGAACTTCGATGTGAGTATGCGAGGAATAAATACGGTCCGGCCTGCAAGGCTTGCTTGTACAGTCGACCGACGTCGTGGCCGTGCGAACTCGCGCGCGCAACCCTTTCGCCCTCCCTTTTTGTTTTTTTTTTGTTTTTTTGGCACAATCGGCGACGGACAGGGAGGCCTCGCGGCGGCAAACCGCCCGTTTGTCTTCGGCGAATTAGGTAGCACACAATACGTCCCGTACGAATATAGGAAAATAATTATCGCGTATAATCATCAATGTAATAATTATCAATAATGTAATAATATATGATATAATCGTAATTAAGATTGCGTGTGTGTGTTTCTAGTTTCTTTATATATATATTATATGTATGTATATGTATATACATGCAATGTACTGTGTGTTGTATGTTGTGTGAGAGTGTATATATATAATATATACATATATAAATATTTTACAAGGGGGAGAGTGTGGGGAGGGGCAGGGGGCTAAGAAGACCAAATCAAATGGCGCTAATTAAGCTCTCTATTAAGATCCTTTACAGATACGAGGACGATATCTGTCTGCGCGGTCGTGATTGCCTGATCGAAACCCCGAACATAACTTGATGAAAGTAGGAATAATGTACACTTTTCTCTAATGTATGTGTGTGTGTGTGTGTGTGACGCGCACGTCTCCGCTTTCCACCTCCCACGCACTTTACCGACGTCTTACACTCGTTCTCTCACTCAAATATCTTCAAAAAAAAGGATAAGATTATAATATTACTCGCAACATAATAATCATTACGCAGTAAAATAGTAACATCGTTACTGTTACCATTATTAATTACCATCTATGCCTATTATAAGTATTATTATTACGATAATCATTATCATTACCGATTGTAACTGTTATCGTGTACCGCCAATAATATCATCAGTGTTAACAATAACAGTAACGATGATATTAATAATAGCTTAATAGAATAATAGCGAAAACATCGCGCGACGCAATTCCGCGATTCAACCATTTTGATCGATGCACAAAATGGCAGGGGGGAGCGGGAAGGGGCGAAAAAGAAATAAAAACCGTAAAGAGTCTACGAAAGAACCAGAAAGTAGCGAGTGCTTTCCGATCAAACTTCGCGCTGTGACGCCCTTAAGGGGCGACAGCACCCTTCGCTTATCTTTGGAAGTCATGCAGGAACATACATCATCCCGAAATGATCGAAAAGAATGTTATATAAAAAAAAAACAATCTATCTAAAAATAGATAATTATATACATTAACCGACAATCTCTTTCGCTCGTAAAACATAATTTTTGAATATGCGCGTGCAAATAAAAATTCCACCGTCCGCGTTTTTCGCCTCCTCGATAAACTATGCCGAACTTGGACTTGGTGCCTCGTCAGAAATTTAGGTTCCCGCTCGTTCTTCTCTTTATTTTTCGGGCGGTCGGCCTGGCGGGAAAATGGGCCTGATATATGTATCTGCTATAAATATAATGTCTCGAAAATATTCTCGAAGCTCCTTAATAGACTTCTTCTCTTTTTTTTTTACTTTTACTTTTAGTCTCTTCTCTTTATCCTTTAGCACTCGCGAAATATAAAATTGTATCCCGTGAACCATTGGACCGCGCTTAGTAACTATGGGCCGTCGTGATCCCGCCAATCCGCCTGCGTTTTCTCTCCATCAACTTTCCCGATGTTGCGCCAACAACAAAGACATCGGAAACGAGACAACGCGATTTTGTAAATTGAACGAATGATAATTGGTCCTACAGTCTCGGAGAAATGCCGTCGGTCATCCACCGGTCGGGTGACGTGCGTCCGTCACTTGGGAGAATTAAATTTAGATCGGATATGTATTAAAACTACGCGATCGTGTTTCGAACTTGGATTTGATAAGGGTCCCTTCGAATCGGGAATTCGAATTTCGCAAGTTCGCTTCGCCAGTTTATCGAGAAAATGAAATCCGGGATCGGGGGTGTGTCGCCAATTACACACTTTCCTGTTGCCAAATAGCAATCCGCTCGAGTACCTCTTCATCGAATACGGGGGAAGGGGGGAAGAGATGCATTTGAGACATGAGGCGAATCAAATCACTGGTTAAAACTCGAGCAACAAAGCTGCCGCGACGCGTTCAGAGTTCCTCCCGACGCGATTTGCACATCGAGAAGCGATCGTAATAAACGGGAACAGATTAAAAAGAAACCTCGTCCGAGGGAGTAACGCGAACGCACGAATGGACCGTTCTCAAAAGTAGGAAAGCGCGGGGAGCATACATGTTTCTTTCGGAACTAAATTCAACGGACATTTCGTCGTGTGTTGATTCGTTACATCCTCTCATATCCCTCCTTTTTTTCCCTATTTGTAATCTCTTACCCGATTCTGGACAAGATCTGTGGTAGCAAAAATTGGGACGGGCCGATCTACCGCGAGCTTAACGACGGTAGACCACCCTCAAGACGGCGGCACTCACAAATATCTATTTACAAAAATATACACATGAGCAACTTGCTTGTCCGCTTGCGCTTGTTCTTTCTCTCTCTCTCTCGCTCTCGCTCTCATTGTTTCCACCGTTAGCATCTCGTGCCGTGCGCGCAAGAGGATGTTCGCCCCTTCGGAGTCCGGTGTACAGGCGAGATTCGTTCGCGAACAGCAATCTCGAATGCTGTGCTACTTATCATTCGCGAACGTAATCTTGCCCGACACCGTACTTCACCGTCGCGCACTTTTGGCGCGATTATCTCGCTGTTCTTCCCTCGCTTGCATTTTTAAATCATACTATTGGTATATGCGTGTATGTGGTATGTTATTAGTTTTCCTTCTTTTCGCGATCGCACTAGAACCTCTACTTGTCTCGCCCGGTTAACTCTAGGTAAATGTAAATAATATGTATTGGTATAGTCGCATCTGTTTACTGCTTTTCCTGTTTGCATATTATACTCTAGTCTAAGTTACTTACCCCGTGATCTATCTACAAAAAAGAGTCGTGTGCTTCGCACGCAAACGTTACGACTATAGTTTAACTATAGCATCGCTTGATCCTGGTTGTTGATCCTGTTGCTCGCGCATCTCCCCACCGAAAACACTCTAATCCTGCCCGCTCTCTTTCTCTATCTCTCGTCCTCATTTTATCACGGTACCCTCCCCTATTCGCGAATACAACTGTTGTCTGTTCCCCTATACTGAAACGCGGCGCCGGCGCGCGAGATGCATTATCTCCGTTCGCGTCATTAAATATATTGTTATCTTTATAACTATTTATATATATTTATATAGGTAATAAACTATATATATATTAAATATGTATATATCCAGTTATATTCATCGCATTCGAATCGCCGAAACGATACTCATGCTTCAGGTAACGTCGGGTGCACCGTGAAGCGAGAACACACGGGCGCTTTTTACGTGGCACTTCTACTACCCCCCATTTAGTGGTTTTACTTTTTCTCTTTTTTTCCTATTCAGTTTTTCTCTTTTTTTCCCTCAGAGCTACCCCCCCCCCCTTTCCCTATTTTCCTTCCTATCTTCCTCCGATTTTCCTCCCCTAACCGGAACTCGTGTCGATATCTATGCGTTAACTTACAAAAGCGGACACTTCGGAAAAATAGACACGAGTTATCACTGCGGCTCGCAAGAGAAATCTAACGCGCTCGCGTCGTCACACGCGAGCGTCTCGATATCATTCCCGCCCCGACGATTCTCCACTGCGCCTCGAGAGTAAGTAACACGTGCTCTAAACAAAGTGCACGAGGTTCGTTTATGCACCGTGGTAAGATAAAGCGACTTCTCTCCCCCTCGGTCGGCCGCCTTTTCCCTCGCCCCTCAGGCACGCGCTTTGCAATTGACTATAAACTTGCTGCTAAATTTATATCAAGAATGCCTCCACGTCGTCCGACTAAAGGAGACCTCACACGAGCTGCTCTCGTTTTCTCTCCGTTTTTTTCCCCTAGATTGCCGTGACCCTCGTTATCGATTCGATCGCACCCCCGAGACCACTTCTCGCAGAGAAAATAGTCCGTGATTTCGCTATATCACCACTATCGCACCTTCCTGTCTCTCACGTCTCTACGCACCGTTGGCTGCCGATTGACGTCACAATGATTGACGCAACGATGCTACGCAACTACGTGTACATGGTCGGGTATGTGACCATATTTTGAGGAAGGGAAGTAATGTAGTTTGGGGTGGGTGGTCGGGGGCTGTGCCACTGTGGTCAGAGAGCTCGTAACTTCTTTATACCCGCTTGAACGTAACGCACGAGTTCGCGTAGCGAGCTATACGATGTCAGGGGTCCCAATCTCCGGTCCAAGTCGATGAAAAAGCCTGCAAGTGCGAGAGAAAAGAAACGGTCATTAGAAATCGGAACGAGAGACTCAATCGGACGAGACTTTGTTTCTTAACACGTACTTCTATTCTCTTCCTGTTTCGCTTGCTTTATTGCCTGGTCCCATAGGTCGTGACCGTTCGTAAGTAAACCTGAATACTGATTCTGCTTCATCATCGCATTGTAGACCTGCACTGGCACGCTAATATATTGGCCGTTGACCGATGTTGCCGGATGTTGCCCACCGCTACTGTATCCGGAGGAACTTTGACTACCGACGGAACCTACAGAACCGGCGGGCGACGGCGTAGGCGACAGAGAAGGCGTACCTTGTCCCTCCGCCTGAGCAGGCGTAGTCTGAGCTACCGATTGTTGAGATTGCTAAAATCATTTTTTCAACGATTAGTGACTCACGCGCAGATTTACATCTAGGATGAGGATCACAGATCGTAATAAAATAAAAAATTTGTAGTGCGTGTAAGGTAATCGAGAAAAGTTGATGCAGGTGGTAAAAACCATTCACCTTTTGATTGAAATCGTTAACGATCTTCTGGACCTCTTTCACCTCCTGTTTGCGCATATTATAAAGCTTGGAGTACAAGCGTGACTGGCACCAAAGGCTGGAAAAACAAATCGTAGTTTTGAAACGTGTCTGCTCGCGCAACGCTGTACTCGAATTCGACGAGGATGGCAGATGCTACTCACCTCAGAATTGCCAGCTTAGTGTGTATACTGTTCTCGGGTGAGTTGTTGGGTTGACTCTTGAACTTCGACGAGATGTATCTGCGCGACGAAGGGACAATCGCTTTAATTAGCAAGCTGTCTCTCTTTTTGTCGCACGCATATGCGTCTTAATTAGAAATGTACTCACTTAATGAGACTGAGAGTATCTTTGTACATAGTGTACGACGCTTTTTCCGTAACTGGGTCCGATTCCATCGCATCGCCTGTCAGGAGGAAGTACAGAGCGGCCTCTAGATACATCATGCCCTGTGCTGTAAGATCATTCTCCTCGTCGGCATTGTGTTTTAGTCGCTTAGCTTCGGTCAGGTACTGGTCGTGGTCCCTAAAACACGCATTTAAATAAATATTGTATCAAACAATCAATTGGCTCGTCAAGTATATATAAGAATACTGTTATATCGCACTAGATCTAATTTGAACTTAATATTCGATTACGGCAAAGGGGTCTAATCATCGTCGTGCGTAAAACAGACAACTTACCTATCCTGATCTTCCAATATCTCATTTTGAGGATCAAAGTAAGAATAGTAGACGCGCTGTGCTGGAAGAGGTGGCGGTGGCAATAAACTCGAATCTTGTTTCTCGTCCCTTTCGTGATTTGTCGGCTGAATATCACTTTGCTGTATAATTAAAATATACCATGTACAAAGTTTTTCCACGCTACTACAACCATAATTGAACATTGGACTATTAAAAACTGAAATAATTTACAACAAAAGTATTACAACTGTAACATGGCAACTAATTATTACTTACACAACAGTTTTCTTCTCAATCTCTGCTTGTCGATTACAATTACAATGTCGATAAAAGTAATGTATATTAAGTGCAAAACTATAAAAATAAAAGCTGAAACGTAATGGCGCTCAGAAATGCTTAAAGACGCAAAGTTGTAATACTTTTCGGTCGAGCTCACAACTTTCTTCAAAGATCTATTACCTGACTGGACAGTAGCCCGTCGTTCGCGGCATGCCTCCGTTGTCTTTTGCGGCTTCTGTCCTTATGTTCGGACGAACTCTTAGTTTTCGCGTCAACCGAACACTGAACCGGGCTCAAACTGGACACGGAACTACAACTCGGATTACGTTTCCTCTTGGGTGCGTTAACGAGCGCACCGGTAACACTAGCACTACCGGCACCTCCGAGAATAGTACCGCCACTCTTCGAGTCAGATATCGGCTGGCCCTTGATCACAGAACGCGAGCTCCTACCGTCACCCTCGCCTAGCAGTCTGTCGGAACGATGAATCCTCGTGCGATCCGACACAACCTGCTGCTGCGACGGCGGCATATCGATGATCTCACCCTCCTCTGGCGTGGACGGCCTCGGTGGTTGTAAGGTCGCCAAGCTAGAGGACGGCCTCTGCCTCGAAGACGGCCTGGTATCCGGCAATTCCGTACGCTGTCGGAGCTCTTGGCCTCTCGATAGTTGCAGAATTTGCGAGGATATCCTGGCGAGATCGATCTTGCACACGAGGCTCGGTACGCCGTTGACGTGTACGAGCGCTGGAGGGGTGCGCACGAGAATGTTGTTACCACCACCGGACGTACGCGAAGACGGTCTTTTGTAAGGACTGTCCCCGCCCGTCGGTGTATGCGTAGCAGAATTGCTCGTGTACTCCTCCACGTAGATGCCGCATTTACCGCCGCCTTTTCCACCTTTCCCACCCTTTCCACCACCTTTTCCGCCGCCCTTGGACGTGGAGAAAACGTGGCGCAGCGTGTCGCTTTTCTTTTTGTCCTGCACATTGCCCGCGTCGTCCTCTTGTAACTTCGAAGCCTCGCTATCAGAGTTATCTAGCGAAGTCGCTGGTTGTACCCTCGTTGGTTGTACTCGCGGTCTGGGTGGCACACTGACAGTTATAATAATTTCGTCAATACTCATTTACAATTAGTCTACTTACCTTAATCTAGATTAAACTAACTAGAAGAATAGACAAAAAAAGAAGGAACATAATAGAAGAATAGAATAGAAAGAGGAAAAATTTGAAAATCAATTGCATTTTTTAATTAATATCGACCGAATATGTCCTAAAACAAGAATCGCGTTATTATTTTTCCAAAATAATGTATATCTTCGTTAAAACGAGAATAAAATATTTAAAAAAAAACATTAAATCACGTTTCGATGGAGATACATGCGCAATTCGTAACACTCTGCAAATGCTCGCGTGAAAAACAAATCAATAACTAGCGCGTTGAAATAATTGTGAAGAATTTACCGAGCAACTTTGATGCGATTACTCCTTACAGACACCTCCAATTCACTGTCGGAGTCCGAGCCGCCGGCTACGTTGGCCACTCTGGACCTCGATTGCCTGGGCTTGCCCTTGGCGGAATTTTTCTTCTGGTCTTGCTTCTTCGGCGAGTCCAACAGGTTGTTCCGCTTGATGGGGGGCACTCTTGTCCATCGCGCGGCGTCGTCCTCGGAGGCACTATTATTATTTTTCCTGTTCGGCGGCGAACTCTCGTCGTCGCTGGACGAGCTCAGTCTCGATCTCTTTTCGTTTCTCGTCGGTGCTACGGCCGAGACTTTGGTAGGTCGACGATCGCTGTCGGAATCGCTCTGCGATCTCGCGTCGCTGTCGTCGTCGCTCGTGGTCACCGTTTCCTTCGACTTGGGTTGCTTCTTCTTGTTGCTAGTGGCAACCGTTCTCGCCCGGTGGCTGCGTGGCTTGCCGTTCTTCAGGCTCTCCTTCGGACTCTCGTCCGCCGTCCGGTGGCTGCGTTTCGGGCTCTTGTTGGATTTCCTGGGTCGCCCGCGTTTCCTGGTATCAGCCTTCGGCTTCTCCGTCTGGGCGTGATTATCTTCGACCAGCTGATGTACCTTCTCCTGGTCCGAGTGATGATCGCTGTCGCTGAGGGAACTCATGTTATGAGGCCTCTTCATGGCCTCGTCGAGCTGCCAATCGTGGGGCTGTTCCCTGTGCGGTCTAATCGTCTCCGTCGTCAACTCGAGAATATTCTCCCGCCTGGCGTTATCCTGCGAACAGTGCAGTTCCTTCTTCAAAAAGAATTCCATGACATAAATTTCTTATATATAATTTAAACATCTAATTCATAGAGATTTCAATTCTCGTGACCCTATTAATATTTTTTAACAATGGGGATACATGATTGTACTGTGTTTTAAGACTGACGATTTAAGTCAGCGCAGTTCTATTTCGATTTTCACTCACGATATATGACATTCGTGAAACAACGTTGGACCGTTTATTGCGGTTATTACTATGAATGTTATCGCATGCCTCGGTGGACGAATTGGTGAGACGCCCGCCTAGTGAGAGGGAATGTCCAGATTCAAACCCTGACTGAGGTAATGTTTTTCGTAATAAATTTGAAATAAGAATTATTTAGTCATTTAACATCCTGTCGCGGGTTTAGTCCTTATTCCTTGGAATTAATATTTTTTATATTAAATTTGGGTAACTGTAGAATTGGCGCTCCAGCAGGGATCGCGATTTTTGTAGTGGCAATTAACAAAACGAGCTATAAAACGTATGTGCCAGATTTTAATAGAGAGCTTCAAGTTTTTGCGCGAAAAAAATTCATGTTTATTATTTATTCAATATACTCATACAGTCGAAATGAAACGTTGACAAGAATGAACAAAATTCATAGACAGTTCACAATAATCTGGAAGATCAGTTTTGTGGAAATTAGGTCTATGCGTTGTACCGTTCCACGTGGGTCTGCGAGTTTCCACGCGAAACGCGATCC